GAGTTAATAAGTTAAGTTAGGAAGTTAGGTTACTACAGGCATTTTAATTAATTTTTAATTAAAAATATATAATGTTTGTGCCAATGCTACTAATGATTATTAAGAGATCGTGAGATACGGTCTGGTGTGACGTAGGATTTAGAAAAACATTTGATTTATCGTGCCAACGTTTCTATCTTTATTGAGAGGGCTCAAAGTGTTTATTTTCTGTGTAGATGTGTCATTCTTGTGTGTCGTCTTGAGAGTGTACTCACGTCACACCAGACCGCATCTCACGATCTTCAAATTATCTTTAACTAACGGTCACTAAACACCACACAATGTTACAAATAATGTTCATAACAAACCAATCTTTTGTGAAAAAGAACAGAGATAATTAAGAAAAAATTAAAATAAAGTAAAACAACAGTCCCTTCTTAAACATCTTATTCATTAGGATTTTAAAAGGTAATTAACGATTAACAAAGTTAACAAATATGAACATCTATTTACAATACCGAAAGCTATGATTTTTTAAGTAAAATAAAATTAGCAATTAAATTTACAACAACGAGATCAGACATCACCAGCCCAATCTATTTAGAAAAATTTAACCTCCATCCTATTATCTTCCGTCTGCTCGATCATCCTTGATCATTAACACTTGTTTTTCGGGGCTTTCAAATATTTATTTCTTTTCATTGATCACATTTGTCTTTAAGTAGAATCTTATGTTTGATCGTTCTTAAATTTGTAACTTATTGACCGAATATACAATTTTATAAGCCATATTTCATTTGATTAATTTTCCTATCTGACCATATGTATGTAAAAAAAAATTTTCCCTATCAAGACGTTGTTCAATTTTCTACTAAAACAAAAGCTATACGATTTTTGCTTTAAGAATGACGACATTCCAAATGATTTTATTCACATAGTTTATATTGTTGAGAGTGGTCAGCTTGTTCTAAAAGAGGTCAATCTTTTTGATCATCCTTGATCACCCATAATCATTAAAACGTTATTTTTCCGGGACTTTCAAATAGATAAAAGTGTATCGTTCAACACATTAAGTTTCATGTGGGTTCTATTTTTTTATCATTTGATCTTCGTGGTCCGCTTTTCCTCGATGTTTTTTCTTATTCGCAATTCGTTCTGAGCAGTCCACCTGACAAAAATAACAAAAAAATAGATGCACGATTGCACACTTGATTTGAAACAGAAATGCGGCTGGCCAAGGATGAACAACGAGAATAGACAGACCCTGACATCTGTTTTTTATACATGACGGATCTCATAATTTTCAATGGTTGTTTTCAGTAAAATCTCCCTTCAAGGCAGGGGATTTGTTAATTTTACAGTTATATTTGTGAGAAGATGTAAAAGTGAGAATGAAAATTCAACAAATGGATTGGACATGGTTAACATTTGAGGTTACTCACCATTTTAGTTAGAAATAGAAGTATTTTAAAAATGCTTTAATTAAAAATCCGACTAACTTGCTGTACGCAAAAGACAAAATATTATTTTCAAAATAATCAGTTTTATTGGCTGTTAAAACCAGTATTTGTTCCATAAGCCAGTGGGTGTGATTTCAGAATATCTTTGTAGGGTATAAGGTGAGTGAGAGAGAGGGGGAGGGAGAGAGTGAGGAGTGAGTGAGTGAGTGAGTGAATGGGTGTGTGTGTGTGTGTGTGTGTGTGTGTGTGTGTGAGTGTGTGTGTGTGTGAGAGAGAGAGAGAGAGAGAGAGAGAGAGAGAGAGAGAGAGAGAGAGTAACATTATATATCTATATTAACGTTATGTAAAAATTAGATTTTAAAGTTTTATTTTCAGTTTTTGACATATGTATTGTAGACATTGCATATACATTTAGAGCACGTATAAATAATTTAATATCACATATCAACGAAATTCAACATTAACACATATTAATAAAACTGTTAACAATGTAATTAAGTATATAAAATTATATAGTAATAAAGAATTATATATAATTGGATTTTTATTAACATCTCACGGATACACTCAATTGTTGGTAACGTTGTTCAAGAAAATTTAATTGATTTTGTATCTTTATAGTGAAAACAAAATCTATTTTATAAAGCTGATCTGCAAATTGAAGTTCAAAGCACTCACCTTTGACCGTGTGTAATAATTTTGACAATTAAATTGTGCACAATGGGCATTGTAGGATTTAAAGTCTATTGAATAATTGATCAAAAATGCTAAGCGGTTTCAATAACAATGAGGAAATGTTAATTAAATTTTATCAAGGAATGAAATTTTGAGATGACGACCAATGTTTATGCAACGAATACTGTTTTTTATTTGTTAAACAATATTTTATCTTTGCCTACATAAAGTTAGATGGATTTATAAGCAGAGAATTGTTAATATCCATGGATTCTGAACTAAAATGGTGAGTAATTTTAAATGTTAACCATGACACATCTATTTTTATTACTTATATTTATTAATTATTATAATTTGCACTCCAACATTTACATTCTCTCACAAGCATATATGAACTGTAATATTAACAAATCCGTCTGCTTAGAATGGAGATTTTAATGAAAACAAACATTAAAAATTATGATTCGTCATGTATACAAAACACGATGTCAGGGACCGTCTGTTCTCGTCGTTCGTCCTTGGCCAGGTGCATTTCTGTTTCATATCAGTTGTGTAATCGCTCAACTTTTTTTTGGTTCTTCTTGTCAGGTGAATGGACTGCTCAGATCGAATTGCGAACAAGAAAAAAAATCATCGAGGAAAAGCGGACCACAACCATCAAATGATAAAAAAAAATAGAATCCACTTGAAGCTGAATGTATTTAACGATACATACAATTATACAATACGATACAATTTTATCTATTTGAAAGTCTCGGAAAAGGAAAGTTTTAATGATTAAGGGTGATCAAGGATGATCAAAAAGATGGAAAACCCTCTGAAACCAAGTTGACTACTCTCAACAATATAAAGTATATGAATAGAATAATTTGGAATGTCGTCATTCTTAAAGAAAATTCTTTAAAGTAGAAATCGTACAACGTCTTGAGATGTTAAAAATTTGTTTTGCATACATACAGACCCATAGGAATATGAATATATATAAAACAAAGAAAGTGTAATTGATAAAGAAAGATCAATTAGATGAAAGAAGCTATGAGTACAAGCAGGCAACCCAACATTATAAAATATCGTACAATTAATTAAGGTTTTTAGTTGGGATAAAAAAGTCAATGGCACGAGCGGGATTCGAACCCACGATCTTCGGCTTGATACGCCGCTGCTCTACCACTTGAGCTATCGTGACCTCGATCCA